CTTGCGTTGGACAGGAGACCGTATGTGGCGCAATCTGTGCTGCGCGATCTGCGTAGTGCTTTCACGTGGCACCGCGGTGGAATCTACGCGGTGCCATTGATGTTCACAAACGCGTTGACACATTTCATGATCTCGCAAACATCCCACCCACCCACCAGCAACTTAGCGTGCAGAACCCACGCGGTTGCGATTGCGATGCGCGCTTGGCGTTGGCTGGTGCATCTCTGCGGCCGCGCAAGCCCGCGGTTGCTCGCGCGCGCGGCCGGCTGGTTTGGCGCGACCGAGGCGGTAGCGATGGCGCTGTCCGCCGGGCACTCCCCGGCGGGCATTTCAGTTCGAGTGGGCGACTCGGGCGGGCGTGGTATCGCGGTGGCGCCGGCGGTGGTAGAGTCGATTATGGGAGTGGCGACGCTGGTGGCGGTGGCGGCGATGACGGCAGCGCGGCCCGCGGCGGCGCCGACGTTGATCGCGCCAGCCGATGACGATAACGATGTCCTCGCGTCGGCGATTAAGGTTATCGAAGGAGTTCGACGCGCGCGCGGCCGACGCGCGCGAGTGGCCCGCGTGGTTTTACCCCCCAGCACGCGCGCAAGGGCCGTCGAATGAGTTCGGCGTGCGGCGCGAGAGGACCGTCTGACAGAATTTGATGAGCATGTCGGACAGCCGATGGCTTTCTTGAGAAACCGCAAGACCGCGAACGCAGGCTTGTTAGAACACTACTGTTGCAAGACCATGTGTTCTTAAGTGTTCGGGACAATCCTTTTTTAAAATAAAAAATCCCTGCGAAAAAGCATGGCTCTTGAAGTATTCTGGCGCGCGCGACGACGCGCGCGCGCGTCGCGCCGTTTTGCGGCGCGGCATTCTTGCGACCGCGCGCGCGCGAGGGCCTCCGAGCCATGCCGACACGTGCGCGCGAGGGGCCCGCTTGGCAACATCTCATGAAAATGTTGAAAGACGATACATCTATATATATACATATATATATATGCATCGCAAGAGGCCGGGCGCGCTAGCTATATTGTTGGGGGAACCGGTGTTGCAGAACAGTGCGTGCTTCAAATGTTTCCGGGCGATCGATTCTTCAATTTCTTACGAAACCTAAGGTTGTCGATCGATGTCGGCGCGCGCTTGCACTTCGCCCCGTTGCTTTGCAAGGAATTTGCTAAAACTTGTGATGTGTGATTAACGGCTGCGCGCACATAGTGTCCTTTTTCTGCAGGGGGGAACCGATGTCGGCCAGCCTGGGATTGTGAGTTCATAGTGCGGATGAGCGATGGGGCAGGAACACATGCAAATTGGAGCGCGAAGTGGTGGCCCGTTAACCCCGTCTAGAGGGGGGGGGGGCCTTAATATTATCTACAAAGAGAATTCACCCTGCCGAGCTTGAAGTTTTCGAACCCACTGCTCGTGCAAGCACCCCACCAACCAATCCGCAACTTGGTCTGCAAAACCCATGCGGTGGAGATTGCGATGAGTGCTTTGCGTTGGCTGGTGCATCTCTGCGGCCGCGCTAGCTCCCAGTTGCCTGCGCGCGCGTTGGCCATCTAGTTTGGCGCGACCGTCGCGGCCGTGGTGGCGCTGAGCGCTGTGCATTTCCCCGCGGGCACTTCTGTGCGAGTCGGCGACTTGGGCGGGCGCGGCATCGTGGCAACGTCGGCAACGGTACATGCGAATATGATGGTAGCGATGCTGGCGACGATGAGGACAACGACGACGGCAAGGCCAACGACGGCGCCGATGTTGATCACGCCGACAACGATGACGGCGTCCTTGCGTCGGTGGTGGAGGTTTTGTAGAGAGCTCGACATGCGCGCGGCCGACGCGCGAGAGTGGCCCGCATGATATCATGTGATAGGGATCGCACACGCACACGCACGCGCGCAGGGGCGTTCGAATGATTTCGACATGTGGCGCGAGAGGCCTGTTTGGCCGAATTGAATGAAAATTTTGGAAAACTGATGGTTTTCTTAAGGGGTTCGCAGCAGCGCGAGCGCAGACTTTCGTGAACAATGGCGTTGCGAAACCATTTTTGTTTGTATGTGTCTCGGGACACTTTATGTTGCATTCCCTGCGAAACAAGGGTGTTTGAAAGATTTCGGCATGCGCGCGCGACGACGCTCGCGTGCGCACTTTGTCCCATGTGTGGCAGGAAGTTTGTGCGACAACACGCGCGCAAAAGGCGCGTTCTTTTACGATTCCGACATGCGCGCGCGAGAGGCCTGTTTGGTAGCACGTTCTGACAATATTGAAATAAACCGATGGTTACGTCAATAATTCAAGCGCGAACATGGCTTTAAGAATTCCTTGTGTTGCGAAGCCATTCGTTTGGCAGAAATTGTGTTCGGGACACTCGATTATGAATTTCGCGCGAAGTATGAGGTGAGCGAATGAATCCAGCATGCGCGCGCGACGACGCGCGCGTGCGCATTTCGTCCCATGCTTGGCAAGGAGTTCTTGCGACAGCACGCGGGCAAAGGCGTTTTTGTTATTCTGACATGCGCGCGCGAGAGGCCCGTTTGGTAGCATATTATGGTCTTGTTGAAGCACCGATGATTATGTTGACGATTCGCAATTGCGCGAGCGCCATTTGTGTTTGTTTTGAAAACCCGTGTTGCAAGGCCACGTTTTTTTTTGTTTTTGGGAGAACAGGTTTTGAATTCCTCCCGCAACTTCAGCGGTTTGAAGGATTTGGGCACGCACGTATGGCATTTACAAACCGGCACAAATGCGCATGTGTTCCCATATTTTACAACAATTACTCAAACACTTCGAATTGTGATAATCGACTGCGCGCATAGAGTTTTCGGCCAAGGTGAGGTGGGCACGCGATGCCCGCCTGCCCGGGATGGTGCGAGGTCATATTGAGGATAATAGGTAAAATGCAATACGCGAATGGGGTCGCTAAGTCCAGGGGGTGATCTTAATATCTTGGTAGAAAGGAGAATCTACGTGGAGCAACATGTGATGAAGTACATATTGCAGCACATGTTGTGAAGTTGTTGTGAAACAATCTGGTGTAAACAAATCGACACGCGGCGACGAGGTGGCGACGGGGCGGCGACGGCGGCGACATAGCCACTTGACCGACCGTCAAGCCCCGGCGACTGGCGGCGACGGGGCGGCGACGGCCGCGACGTAGCCACTTGACCAACATTCAGGCCCAGGCGACGGGCGACGACGAGGCGGTGACGGGGCGGCCACGGCCGCGACGTTGCCACCTGACCGACCGCCCGGCCCAGGCGACGGGCGGCGACGAGGCGCTGACGGGGCGTCCACGGCCGCGACCTTGCCGCCAAACCAACGGTCAGGCCCAGGCAACGGGCGGCGACGAGGCGGCGACGGGGCGGCCACGGCCGCGACGTTGCCGCCAAACCATCGGTCAGGCCCAGGCAACGGGCGGCGACGAGGCGGCGACGGGGCGGCCACGGCCGCGACACCGACGGTCCGGCCCAGGCGACGGGCAGCGACGAGGCGGCGACGGGGCGGTGACGGGGCGGCGACGGCCGCGACGCCAGACCGACCGTCAGGCCCACTTCTAGTACGAACTCCGAACGGCAAGCATTGTTCGGGGAATGCACGACACCTGCTAGCACCCTGGGGGTGGGCGGGGGTCCTGGTCATGGGCTTGGTCTACAACATTCCGTGCCTGGGGCCTGCTTCTTGTCTATGAACCGTGGCCCCGGACTGTGGAGTTTGACTGGGGCGGGGAAGGTGTGGCATTCCAAGACAATCTTGCGGAGCCCTGGCTTCCCTGGAGCCGTCTGGGGGTGCGAGGTGGCCCAGCATTCCTTGTTCCGGCCCGCAGGAAGGCCAGGTCCGAGGCGCTGGGTTCGGGAAGATGTGATGTTTGGCCGTGTTCGGCTTCTGGAGGCCGTTTTCGGGCCTCGGGGCAGTGACAGCACATCCAGAGTGAACTGCACCAGATGGACAGGGTTCCCGGGACCGATTTTGACGGATCTGGCCTCACCCCCATTCCTGACCAAGTCTTTCTGACCAATTTTTCTGGGTCCCCACCCGGTTCAGACCCCCAGCCGCCTCCAAGCCGGGTCTCGTCTTTCGGGACGATCGAAATGGGTACGGAAAGAATGGGTACAAAGACCGACAGCAGTTCCTGCCCATTTTGAACTGGGTTCGCTGTCGGAGTCGCCGCGGGCGATGTCCATTTTAGACAGAAGGCCGCCTGCCCAACAGCGGCCGCTGTCGGTTTTGGACAACATCTGATGTTGGGCATCGTGCCCATTTGTTCCGTACTGATTTCGGGCGTAGGCAACACCGCAGCAAATCACGACCGGAGCCCCGAACCCCCTTTCTCTGAGCCATTTCGAGCCGCATCGATCTGTGAGGGCCCCAGGGCCCGAAGCCTGGCGAAAACGCCCCGCTCGAAAAAATTGCAACGCCAGGATCTCAAGGCTCGTCCTATTTGGGCCACCGCTCTCCGCTCGACTGCACGTAAGAGCGACTCCTCGCCGGAGTGACCTGTGGTGCGGGCCCACTGGGGTCCCCCGATCGCCGACCCTGACGCGGTAGCAGCGGCCTGCGCGCCCAGGTTTGGCCACCCCGCGTTCCCCGTGAAGCCGCGCACCACCATTGGACCATTACCTGGCAGGGTCACTTTTGCGTGTAGCCGACCCGCTGCCGACCCTTTCCTCCCCCCTCTCCCTCCCCTCAAAGCTTGCTACACGTGCGCCTCGCAGTGCAGATGTGTCCAGACACGCCAGATTTCTGAGGCCACGGCCTCGCCTGCCTGGTCCTAGCTAGGCCCCGACGGTGTCCGCAGCGGTGGTCGTACAGTCGGGGCCCTGAAGAAGGAACCCTTTTCGTTGGGAAGGGGCTCCGCGTTCCTTAGATGTTTCACAGCTTGCCTCAGGCTTTCCTTATGTGTTCGTCAGGAAATCGAAGGTTAACTTATGGAAAAACGAGGCCTCGTTCCTTATTAGGTCAACGCCCCGACTGTATCGCATCCGCGTCGCATCGACCCGCTGCCGACACCCTCCCCGGAGGCCCTCGACGCGGCCGGCAGCGAGGCCGTGGCCGCCGCGTCGCGCGCCAACGCCGCCGGCCCGGCGCCCGAGGGCAGCCGCCCGAAGGAGGGCGGCCGCCCGAAGGCCCCCGCCGAGCCGAAGCCGGAGGACGCCCCCGGGGGGGGCCTGGCGGTGGTCTCGGGTGGGCCCAGACCCCCTGGAGTTATGAAAAAATCGCGACGGGAGGTTCTTCTCTATTGTTGGCCTTTGGGGGCCCTTACCGGCCCGCGGGACCGTCAAAAAACGACTCAGGACGAAAAACCGGTCCCGGGGAATGGGTCGAGACCTCGGGGGGTCGACGTCATGAAAAAATCATGACGTCGGAGGTCTGGGGGTGGTGATGTCGGAGGCGGGAATTTGTGCACGACCACCGCCTGGAGGATCAGTTTTCGTGGCCCTCGGCAGGCGGTGGATGTGGACATATTTGGGCCCCTAGGAGCCAAAGTATATCCATGTCCACCGCCCGGTGGGGCACCAGGACGTCCGTTCCCAGGCGGTGGATATGGATAAATCCCCGCCTCGCAGGATGGGGGGTGGCCCAAATCGGCGTCACCCCAACATACTAACACTATGTGTGCGTCGCCCCCCCCCCTGCTCGCCGCGAGACGTGACCACACGTCGGCCGCTGCGGTGTGGCGCTCGCCTTGATCAGCCAGCCGTGACCCCCCCCGACCTTGGCTGCCCTGCGACGCCCGGTTTGAAACCCAACACGTTCCGTGTCGGGAGCCTTGAGACGGGGGTCAGTGCAAACGGGGGTGAGCCAGAGCGCCGGATCTTGCAGGATCCTGCAGGGACAGGGTCGCATTGACCCGGGCTTGGGTGCAGGATCCTGCAGAATCTTGCAGGATCTTTCGCATTGACCTGGACTTGGGCGCAGGATCGTGCAGGATCCTGCAAGGCCTGACTGACCCGGGTCTGGATTGATCCGGGTCAGAAGATCCCCGACCGTGTTCAAAGCGTATTTGGTCCAGTTGTTCCGTTTCGGTTCAACATGTGGGTGTATGTCTTGGTGAGCGTATGCAGCCAGAGACGCTTTTGGGATGTACATGTTGCGCCGCGAGTCCACACGCTCCGGGTCTGGTGTTGCGTATCAGGACAGCTAAGCCCCCCACAGTTTCAGTGTGTGAGTCAGGATCTCAAGTCGATCTTCATCGATCAGCCACTGCGCTGGGCACTGAGTTCTCTATCCGTGCTGCGCGCGACAGGGCACCAGGCTCGTGGAGTCAGCCAGCCGTGGACGAGTCTTCGCCTTCTCCTCAGCGTGTGCGGGTGCTGTGACGCGTACACATGCGCAGGCTCCTCTTTCTGTGTTTCTGATCCTCCCTCCTAGTCATTTTGCCGTTCACGGCACAATCTTCATGGTTTCAGACAGGGCCGATCGACCGAAGCTTAGAGGGCTGGTGCTGCAGAGTCATAATGGGCGGTCCATCCTTCCCCCCATGGTCCCTCGCCTTGCTGGCTCACTGCAGGAGGTGACAAGAGAGGGGGTGGGGGGGCGAAACCTTCCTGACCCCCACCCAGAGCTAACTTCAGAGACCGCTTACTTGGATTGAGTCTGAATGGGAAAAGTGCGTGTGTGCGTGTGTTTGTCGGTCTGTCTGTCTGCCTGCCTGCCTGTCTGTCTGTCTGTCTGTCTGTCTGTCTGTCTGTCTGTCTGCCTGTCATTCTGTATGTCTCTCTGTCTGTCTGTCTGTCTGTCTGTCTGTCTGTCTTTCTGTCTGTCTGTCTGTCTGTCTGTCTGTCTGTCTGTCTGTCTGTCTGTCTGTCTGTCTGTCTGTGTGTCTGTGTGTCTGTGTGTCTGTGCCTCTGTCTCTCTGTGTGCGTGTGCGTGTGCGTGTGCTGTGTCTCTGTCACTGTGTCTGTGTCTGCGTCTGCGTCTGCGTGTGCGTGTGCGCGTGCGCGTGCGCGTTTGCGTGAGCGTGTGCGTGTGTGCGCGCGTGTGTGTGTGTCACGGTTGGAGCGCCCTGTGGGGCCACGAAGCGTGCGAGGGGTGTGCCAAAGTGAGGGGAGTGACGGGGGGAGGAGGAGGAGGAGAAGGAGGAGGAGGAGAAGGAGGAGGAGGAGAAGGAGGAGGAGGAGGAGAAGGATAAGGAGGAGGAGAAGGAGGAGGAGAAGGAGGAGGAGGAGAAGGAGGCGGAGGAGGAGGAGGAGACGCAGGGATCTCTCTCTTCAAAACGAGGACCCAGCACCACAGGATGCCTGGGGACGGGCAAGAGGGAGAGAGGCCCGCCGTCCCCCCCCCCTGCCCCCCTGGCGTGGCCGAGCACCGCGCGAGCGGAGGAGCCGCGCACCCGCCGGCGCTTCTCGGAGGACAGCCCGCGGCCCGCGCCCGCCGCGGCGCCCCCGAGGCCGAAGCCAGGCCGCAGCTCCCGGGGGGCCTTTGGAAGAGGAGGATCGTCATCCTCGTCCTCCCCCTCGTCCTCCTCCTGCTCCTCCTCCTTATCCTCCTCATCCTTCTCCTTCTCCTTCTCCTCGTCGTCCTCCTCCCCCTCCTCCTGTTCTTTTCCCTTATGAAGAACTTAGGCTGGGCGTTTCGCCTGAGAGACGGGGGTCAGTGCAGGCGGGGGTCAGCCAGGGCGCGGGATCCTGCAGGATCCTGCGAAGACCCCCTCTGGCGGACGCGGGTTTTGTCGAGCCGCTCGCGGCCGCGGGGCGGCCGCGCCTGTTGGCTGACCCGGGTTTGCGAAGACCTGCGTTGCAGTTTTTTTCCTGCATTGCAGTTTTTGGTTTCCTGCTGACCCGGGTCTGGATTGACCCGGGTCAGAAGATCCCCGAAGGATCATCGGGTTCAACCGGTGGGCTCAGTGGGGGGGGGGACTTCTACACACTGTGTTTATTTCTACTTCTTCGAAAATGTTCTTTGATTTTTTGGGGGGGCCAAGACCCTTTCGTCTCTGATTGCTCTGCCCTGGGCCTCTTCCTGGCCGCCAGGGGGCCAGGAACAACCAGAAACGGGCACACTTAGAAGTTAGCAAGACTTGACATGAACGACGTGTACTCCAGATTTCGTAAAAAAAGGGAGGGGGTCTGGACCCTCCAAGACGAGCCATTTCAGACCCCCCCCGTGGGAGAACCCTCCAAAACATCGTCCCCAGACCCCCCCCGGCCCTCCAAGATAGCCTGGAAGAGACCCCCCCCCGAAATGAGACCCCCCTCCCTTTATCACGAAATCTGGAGTATTTTTCTATATGAGTTTTCGAGGCTCGCCTGGTGGGTTCCATCGACTGCGCCTCGTCGAGGGCGTTCCTGGGCGTGCCGGGCTCCTCCCGAGCGGCTTGCAGGAGGCCCGAGTCGTGGCCCGAAGACTGCCCGGCGACGGGGATGGGCTCGGGGGGGCGCATAGCTCGGGGGCGGAAAAGAGGGGGGTGATGACTAGGGGGGGGGGAGATCATGGCGCGGGCCATGATTTTTCCTCAGATTTCATGGCGCATCTTCTTGTTTCAGAACGTCCCAGGTCCCCCCGCTGGGCCGCGCACATGCCGCCTGTCATGATTTGCACCCCCCCCTCTTGGACCCCCCCTCCTGGCCGCTCCCGAATAGCCTTCAGTCGGGCATGTCCCTCTACAGGAGGAATGCTCAAACATAGTTAGTAGTGAAAGATAGTCAGGGGACGACTTCACGACTATTTCAGGCTATTTTGGGGTACAGTTACTAGGAAAAAGACAGTCGGGGGACGATGTCATGATCATTTCGGGCTATTTTGGGCTACGTTTTAAAGTATTCTTCGGTTCTCGTTCAAGATCCGCCTATTGGAGGACATGCCCGACCTAAGCATAGACGCCCACTCGGCCATGCCTCGCCGAGCATTCGGGGCCAGGCCGCCCGCCCCCGCCCAGGTGCGCTCGGTGTCGCCATCGGGGGCCACCACCGATCTGTCGGCGCTGCACAGTCGGGGGCCCGTGCCAAGAAACACTCAGGAGGGGAAAAAACACACAGACACAATGAATCGCCGATTCCCCGGAAATATGGGAAAATATGGGAAGTGGGGGGGAAGACAAAAACCCAGAAAATATGGGAAAATATGGGGAATCTGGTTCTTTGTGTGTATTTATTTGTGTGTCCCAGGGCCCCTTCATCCAGGGTGCCCTGGGTTTCTTGGCTTTCGAAGGTCTTGCTATGGAAGGCGTGACGCTCGCGCGCCGAAAATCATGGGACGTCCCGGGGTCTCAGGGTTGGGCTTCTTGCGGCCGGTCTCTTGTGGGCGGGCCTCCACCGTGCAGGCGGCCCGGATTCGTAGGTCGACCCTGCCAGATCGAGGGTGCCTTCGTGTCCTGCGCCTTGCGACCCATGCCGCCTGCTTTTCTGTGGCAACGTGGCCCTCGGAAGGGTCTCGTGTCCTCTCGCGTGTCCTCTCCAATCAAGTCCGACTGCATCACCGATCCCCTGAGCCCGTCCGCCCTCCAGATGGGCACGGAAAGAATGGGTACAATGCCCGACAGCGGATCTTGTTCACTTTGAACAGGACTCGCTGTCCACGCCGCCGCGGCCTGTGTCCATGTGAGACAGAAGGCCGCCTGCCCAACAGCGGCCGCTGTTGGTTCGGGACAACATTTGCTGTTGGGCATTTTGCCCATTGTTTCCGTGCCCATCTCGGGCGTCCAAGTAGAGGGCGGACGGCGACGATCGGAGGAGAACCAGCAGGCGAGGCAGCAGCGGGCCTCCCTGGCTCTTCGTGCTTCCGGGGCCTCCTGGAGGCCCCTCGTCGGGGGAATATTCAAAAATAGTAAAAAAGTTAGTCTGGTGAAGAGTTTTCGAGTGTTGTTGTCCATGTTCGAATCTGTTGTTGAGTATGTTTTACTTCTCGTTCAAAATCCCCCTGTAGGAGGACATGCCCGACCTAACCTTAGTCGCCGCGGCTGCATCCGCCTCGAAAGATTGGCCAGGACGGACCCGCCCCAGGCATGCGATGTCCCGAGTTTTTCCGTGCGGGGTTCCCCGGAGTCCCGACCCTTTCCCCAGGACCAGTCTTTCAGCTTGAGTACCTCTTTGACGGTCCTGGGGCCCCTTAGAGGCCCCCCCCCCCCCCCCATGGGCCCCAAACAGTCAAGCATTTCTCGTCCTGGTTTTCGGTCATGACGCGAGCATGTCTGGGGACGGGACGTTGTCTCAACTGAGCGACGCAACAAAAAGCGGTGTCGTCTGCACCGACATTGGCGCGTAAACTTCCGTAAGGTCGCGCGTGAACCCGCCCTCGCTCCCAGCGCAGCGTGCCGCGCTGGCGGCCCCTCGTAAGCCACCGCGCAAGGTCGCTGCGTCATCTCACGTAGTCAGGGCCCAAAGAGTATACACCACCACCACGTCGCTTCTCCCCCTCTCCTCTTTCCAGCGAGAGGGAGGGGCGGAGGGAAGGAGGCGGTGGTGGTGCATATGTTTGGGCCCCCTCCGCAGGACCCGTGCTTGATGGCCGCTCGTCTGGCGCTTCCCGAGGCCGCCCGCAGCCTGTTCTCACGCCGGCGCTCTCGCCCAGCCCCGGGCCCCCTGCTGAGCAGTGGGGCCTCGCGGGTCGGCCTGGCTCGCGAGGCGCCGCAGACGGAGGCGGCCGAGGGGCTCTGGTCGTGCTCCCTGCCGAGCTCACGCACCGTTTGCTCGCGACGCCGGATCGCAGGGCGAGGTCGACCAGAAGACGAACTCGGGAATGGCCAGGACCCCGGGTAAGGGGACCCGGTTAGTGGTGGGGCGTCGGAGCCCCTGAATTGGCCAGAATCACTAAACCAGGTCTGCCATAGCTGGTGTTTTTTCGGGTGACGGCAGTTCCGGTTAGTGGAAATGGGACGGGGTGGCGCCCCCCGTACAGATCACTAAACCAGGTTCCATTAAACCCAGTTTTGCCAACGCCCGACAAACGACGCCACCCCACCGAGTGCGGCCCTCCACGCCGCGCTGCGGCCCCACGGGAGCCGTGGCGTATGCCACACAGACGCCCACGCCAGATCTCCTGGTGTGCGCTCCGCCCCGTGCCACCGTGGGTGGGGTGGTGTCGTCCGTTGTCTGGTCCAGAAGGGGGACGGCGACGACGGGAAGATTCGACATCCTCGTGAGTACCAGAGGCTGCGGCCCCCCTTTCCTGACGAGAAGCTCATAGAATGTGCCGACATGCCTTCCGATGCATCCTGTGCATGTTGTTGACCTCCTGTGTTCGATTTCCTGGTCACTGGGGGGCCGATCAGGCACATGCGAACCCTACCCCTACCCCCCACGCTTTTTTGAGGGGGAGGATGGGGTTCACTCCCACTCAGAAATCGTGGGGGGTAGGGGTAGGGTTCGCATGTGGCCCCCTAGATATTACAGCTGCGGACAAGCAGCGAGCAGAAGCCAGCTCTGAGCGCGACAGCTGCGGACAAGCAGCGAGCAGAAGCCAGCTCTGAGCGCGTGGGCCTGCTGGACTGGAGTTTCTCGGCTGTTGCCCGCAGGGTCTGTGGAAGCTCCAGGTCGAGAGCTCTACGGCTTGCCCCTCGAAGGCAGCTGGACTCCACGCCGGCTGCCTGCGGCGCTGGCGTCGGAGATCCTCCGGCTCGGCCCTGGTCGGACAGTCGGGTCCCTGAAGAAGGAACCCTTTTCGTTGGGGAGGGGCTCCGCGTTCCTTAAGTGCTGCACAGCTTGCCTCAGGTGTTCCTTATGTTTTCGATCGCAAATCGGAGCTTAACTTATGGAAAATAGGGGCCTCGTTCCTTATTTAGGGGTCCTGTTAGGTCAACGCCCCGACTGTAAGCTGCACGCCGCTGCTGGACCCGTGCGGCCACACGCACGCGGGGCGCGCCTCCAGCGCTCCTCGACCTGCCCGCCGCAGCCTCGCCTCGGGCGCTCGCCCTCGCCAGTCGACCTAGTACCAGCCTCGAGCGTGTCCCTCTCCCTGAGATTGACACGCCAAAAGGGCGATGGCAATCTCAGGGGTTCGCCCTGGAAAAATGAGGGAAATCCCTAAAGGTTGGCATCGTGACGAGGAGGTGCCCAGCATAGGGATAATGGAGGATGACGATTAATAAATGACCGGGGGTCGTGTTCACGCGGCGGCGCCCGGGATGACGATTAGAAGAAATCGGCCGCGGGCTGGAAAACTATTTCTTTTTAATCGTTCTCCTCCAGTCAGAAAATTATCCAGAAATAGCAGGAAACTATTTTTTTAATCGTTCCCCTCCATTTTTTTTAATAATCGTCATCCCGCATTAGGGACATGTTCCAGGCTGGTGAACCTGTGCCTCCGGCCTCCTCCGCCGGCTGGACGCTCCCGGGGCCTCTCTGTGCCGGGCCTCTGCTGCCCTGCCGCGGGCCTCCCCGCCCCTCCCGGGCTGTCGCCCTTGCCCAGCTGCCCCGCCGTCTGTCCCTCGCCGCTCCCTCCGTTGGCCCCAGGCCCCCCCCCCT